GGCACACGAGGCAGAAATTGTCAATTGTTCGAATAAGGTACGAAACGAAGGAGCCCGTTCTTTTCGCGATTTCACTATCACTCGATCGGTTTTTAAAATCCGGCTCGAAGGACCATTTTTTATATGTATAAGATTTAACGTTGTAGGATGCCGGGTTAACGTGATCAAATAATTGTACGCGTTTTGAAACGGTTTAATTTAGTTTATTCACTTTCTACAAGTTCGTCGCGTACCTAGACTTATGTTTCTCGGCGCTCGCTCTCTCGAGGACTGACTCGAGGGCTGCGCGAATTTCGGAGCTCGCGTAGGGCGGCAGCCGATCGGGGTCCTCGATTGGACCATCGGAAAATCAGGCGATGTACACACGCCAATTAGCGGCGAGTGTACACGTTGGTTTCACGTGTTTCCTTGGCGTAAACACTAAGGAATTTAACAAAAAACATTCTAGAAAATTCGATCGTCCTCGAGGATTCGATCCGAAGAACGAATCTTCAACAATTTATAACATCATAAAATTTTGTCCTTTCCGAAATACGCGAACGCTACGAAAAGATAAAATCTCGTACATGCCGCCGGACGAGTTCATGAGCATGAGACGCTCTTATCTTGGGAACGTATTAATAGTTACTGCATTGACCACTACTACGATATGGCGCTGAAATCAGTGAGAAATGCTGGTCTCTCCTTCATCCAGACCTTTGGCGATCTGTCTATTAATCTGTGGGAGAGACCAGCATTTCTCACTGATTTCAGCGCCATATCGTAGTAGTGGTCAATGCAGTAACTATTAATACGTTCCCAAGATAAGAGCGTCTCATGCTCATGAACTCGTCCGGCGGCATGTACGAGATTTATCTTTTCGTAGCGTTCGCGTATTTCGGAAAGGACAAAATTTTATGATGTTATAAATAAAAAAATAAATAAAAAAATAAAATATTAACCTAACCTATTATAATTATTTTTTAATAAATGTTTCATTATTATTATCATCTAAGTCTAAGTCGTTTAATTAATTTTTAGTTTTTAATAATTAATTTAATTTATTCTAATCATTTTAATATGTGAAAAATACTAATACGTATACGTTTTATAATGAATTAATATATTTCGAGAGTCGAATTATATATTTTAATAATATAAAAGTGTTCAAAAATTATATTTGACTTTTTATTTTAATTATTTTAGCAAAGAGTTCCGAAATCTCTTACACACATAATAGGGATTTTGTTCATCCATATAATTCGCAATTAAGTATATATGTTAATTATTAATTTTAATAAAATACAAAATTAAAATTAAAGGTCAAATATAATTTTTGAACATAAATATATTTAATTCGTTATAAAACGTATACCCGTGATAGTATTTTTCTCGTACAAAAATAACTAGAACAAATTAAATTACTCATAAAAAAATAAAAAATAATTAAATAATTTATATTATATATGATAATAATAAAACATTTTATAAAAAAAACAGATTCAATAAATATAAGTATATATATAACATGTACTTATATTTATTGAATCTGTTTTTTAATAAAATGTTTTATAAGCTTAGAAAACTTGACTTTGACGTAACTAGCAAATTTTATTTAATTATTTCACGACGGTTTGACGTAATAAAATGTTTTATTATTATTATATAAAATATAAGTTTAAATTCTTTAATTAATTTTTAATCTTTTATGATTTTTAATTTACTCTAATTATTTTTGTACGAGAAAAATACTATCATGGGTATACGTTTTATAATTAATTTAATATATTTGTGTTTAAAAATTATATTTGACCTTTAATTTTAATTTTTATTTTATTAAAATTAATAATTAACATATATACTTAATTGCGAATTATATGGATGAAAAAAATCCCCATTATGTGTGTAAGAGATTTCGGAACTCTTTGCTATAAAATAATTAAAATTAAAAGTCAAATATAATTTTTGAACACTTTTATATTATTAAGAATATATAATTCGGTTCCCGAAATATATTAATTCATTATAAAACGTATACGTGATATTATTTTTCTCATATAAAAATGACTAGAATAAATTAAATTAATTATTAAAAAACTAAAACGTAATTAAACGACTTAGACTTAGATGATAATAATAATGAAACATTTTATTAAAAAAAGATTCAATAACTAGTAGGTCAGGTTATAATTTTTTATTTATTTATTTATAACATTATGAGCTATTAAGCTCATCATCTCGTTCGCTCTCTGTCTTGCTTTCATTCGGCAAGTCACAAACGATATATGATACTCGTATGTTCCTACTTCAACTCTCGAGAATCTGAAACAAACGAAACTCGTGTCCAATATACAGGGTGTCCGGTAACTAACGACCAATGATTACAAATGGACTCTTTGGTCAATTTGGGAACGATTTTTCCTCAGCGAAAATGTCGAAAAAGGTCATCATTTTTTACAACTTTCCAATCTTGTCATTATGTATCTTTATAACTAAGCCTTAAATTAAAATTTTATTATAGTAAACTCTACCTGAAATTAACTGAAGAATGTAATTATGTTAGACTTTTAACTCCAAAACGTTTAGTTTTCAAAAAACCTATTTTTTTCAATCGCTTATAACTCGAAAATTATTGACTTCTCAACATTTTTGCTAAGGAAAAATCGTCTCCAAATTGGCCAGAGAATCCGCCCTTAATCATTGGTCCGTTAGTTACCGGACACCTTGTATATATTATATAAAAGTGTATAGCACGTCAGAAGCTTGTGAGCTTACAGCGATAAGTAAAAACAATTGCGTATTTATTTCATTGCGTTTATCTGTTTAAACGCGCGCTTTAATTTTTCCAACGTTTTTGCCTGTTTATATTTTAAAGGTCCTCTCTTCTAAAAATCTTGTTTTAAAGATCCTCTCCGCGAGCAAAATTCGAAAACATAAATTATTTAATATTTTTACTTTATTATTTGTAAATCCTCGGTAATTTCAAAATTTTTCTATTTGAAAATTATTAATTTTCTATTGCCAATTAATTTTATCACAGACTTTACTCTTACTCCCATTGCACTTTCGTTTGCGGTTTTCAGTATACGATTTTTTATCGTAGTTACTGAAAATTATTATTGTGAATTATACTTGTGCAGTGATTTGAAGAATTTACAATTTCGTTGAAATTGTTGATTTTTCAAAAAAATTACGAGATTCGCGGAAATTGCGTGCTTTCTTGGCATTTTCCGTTCGCGGCAGGCGGTTTATTTTTGATTGTTGCAAGTGTTTTTTTTTTTTTTATTAAAATAGATAATAATAATGTGAAATAAATCACGATATTTGACAGATGTGCATATATATAGAAATTGTAATAATAATAATATTATATCATAAAATTGTAAATTGTTTCAATTTTTTATAGACTGCGATAAAAGATTTTACATTTGGATAAGAAACTGCGGTAAGTAAAAATATAAAATTCTTGAAAACGTACCAAAAATATTTGATAACGTAAAAAGGTGAACTTTGAAAAATAAGGAACTTAAAAATTGCACTAATAAATGGGCTATATGTGAGCCGTGCGCGGATGTAAGATGTGTTATATCGAAATTTAATTAATAGAATTGAGAATTAATCCCAATTTTAAGTCTTACAAATGTCCAAGCTAATTTTTTGTACCTCGTGTACATTTTTGAAAGTTATATCGAAAAATTAAATTTCAATATGCGTCTTACATCTCACATTTCGCATACGGCTCACATATAGCCTATTTATCTTTTATACTTTATTTCAACCCTTATAGAAATTTATTACTAGTAACGCCAATTTATCACTTATTTCGAGTAATTAATCACTTTTATTTCGAATACTTAAATTACTGTATATTATAGTATTTTAAATACTCAAAATAAGTGATTAATTGGCGTAGTGATAAATTTCTACAAGAGAATAAGGAGCCTTTAAATTCTTAATGTAAAAAATTTCAAGTAATTTTCTTTAATAAAATTTAATTAAAAAATTTAATTAAAAAATTTTTGAACACTGTGTTATATCACATTTAAAATCGTGATTATTTCAATAAAAAAACATTTTATGTGTAAAAAATATATTTTTTATATTTAATAAATTTATATATATATATGCATATATGTAAAATATTCTCTCTCTCTCTCTCTCTCTCTCTCTCTCACACACACACACACACACACACACACACACAACGGGGGCCAAATCTCTCAAATTGGTCTCATGATCAATTAGCCTGGATTCGCACCAGGGGCAAAGTCTGTTGGTAATGTCAAACGAATTTAGCCTGGACTTGCACCAGGGGCAAAGTCTTTTGGTCGAGTCTACGAAATTTAGCACGGACTCGAACCAGGGGCAAAGTCTTTTGGTTCAAGTCTACGAAATTTAGCACGGACTCGAACCAGGGGCAAAGTGTGTCGGTAAGGGGCAAAGTCTATCGCACGAAGATGGCGGTCTCTTCTTTAGGCAGGCCTTTGGCGATCTGTCTATTAATCTGTGCCCAAATATACTTGGTGCAAGGTACGATCATGGTGCAAAATGCAGGTTGACGTTGTAGAAAGATAAGTTTTTATAAGGAAATTAATTTTCGAGCACAATATTGATATTTCAGTGATAGTTGATAAACAAAAAACTCTAAAATATGCTCCATTCTCCATTGCTCTACTGCTCTGCTCTGCAGCTCCGAGTTCTCCGTGCTCTGCTTTGTTAATTTGTATTCTGCTTTATGGTCACAAGATGGCGGCTGCCAGAATGAGTGGGGAGAGGTTGGCGCATCTCTGATTTTAGGTCTCTAGTTGTTAGTTGACAATTGCCAATTGACCAATCAGAGCAAAGCAACTTGTCAGTTGATTGGTTAATCCGCAACTATCAACTAGCAACGAGGATATTTGCAACCTATTGTAGAATGGCCCTTTATTTGTTAGTTGATTGGTCGATTCGCAACTGTCAAGTTACAACCTATTGTAAACTTACCTTTATAATGGTGTGTGTGTGTGTGTGTATGTATGTATGTATGTATGTGTGTGTATATAACTCTATGTAGTTGCACATATGATTTTATCTAATATATACAGATGCTACCGGTCTGGAGTTTTATAGCATTGCATTTTATCGGGTGTTGTAATCGCTTGTATTTCTGCCTAATAACTAATAACTGTATACGATTATTTGTTACTTTGTGTGTGTAGGAAGAAAATAACGTTGATATTTCTCGCCGGCGCTAATTATTGTGAATCTACGTCTAATTAATATCGGATAATTTGATTAGTTCAATCTTCTTTGTCTATTATAGGTAAGATTTTAAAATCGAGGTGAATTATGCTTTATAACAATAATTTTTTGAATTAGATGGGGTTATTAATTAAAATTTCGCGATGTTATAGAAAATTGTTGTATTGAAACAGACAAAATTATACCATTTTTTTACATTATTTTATTACAATATAAAGTATAAGTATCATTTTAATTAATTTTATTTTTTAATTAAATTAATTATTAAGATTTATAATTTTATATGATGGTTAATTTTATATGATGGATTGCATAAAAATATATTTTATTATAATGATTAATTTTGTGTAAATAATTACACAATAATTAAGGAAGATGCTATGGTTAAAAATGTTTTATTCCTTCTTACACATGTATATATTTTTAATTGCCTAGTTAAATCTAAAGAACAAAGATTTTGTAATTCCAATATGTAATTAGTTTATATACACATATACTAGGAATTATTATTGCATGTTATGTATCTATGTTCATGCTTAACTTTTGAGTGATATTATTGAATTATGCAGAGTTATTGAGATAATCAATATTGGATCATCGGCTTTTTAATTGCAATGTTCACACAGTGGTTTAGGATATTTAAGATAGGTATGCGGAATGTATTAGTGTGTTTTTTAATTAATTATTTAATTTAATTACTTCAAAGTTCAATAAAATTGCCTGTATTGATCAAGAAATATTTATTCCTTTAAAAATTTAATTTATATATAAGAAAGAGGAGAGAGGGAAAAAAGAGAGAAGGAAAAGTACAGAAATTAACAAAAAAGTTACTCTTTTTTTTTAGGTTACGCCAGTATGATTCAGAAAGGACCACGTCCCTTAGTGTTATGTGGTCCTTCGGGTTCTGGAAAGAGTACTTTTATAAAACGACTGTTTGACGAGTTTCCTGACACCTTCAAGTTTTCGGTATCCCATACAACTAGGATGCCCAGGCCTGGCGAAGAAGATGGAACACACTATCACTTTACAAATAAGAAGAAAATGGAAGAACAAATAAAAAATGGCGAGTTTATCGAAAGCGCTATATTTAGCGAGAATTTATATGGCACTAGGTATAAGAAAATATATATAATATATCCTAGATGTAAATATAAATATATGGAAATAATACAATTTAATTGCCTTTGCAGCAAGCAGGCAGTTGAAGAAGTGCAGCGTTTGGGAAAGATATGTGTATTGGACATTGACATACAAGGTGTAAAACAGATAAAATGCACCAGCTTAATCCACTTTATGTTTTTATAAAACCACCATGCATTCTGGAATTAGAGCGACGGTTGAAAGCTAGAAATACAGAAACTGAAGAGTCATTGCAACGCAGACTGGCAGTTGCCAAAACGGAACTTGAATACGGTATGCTATTATAAAAGAAATTCACGCTGATGAAACATATTTATAAAGACAGGTGTCTAAACCCATTTAAATTAATTCTAACCCCAGTTAGAACCTATTCACTCAAAAGTGCAAAATACTTGTTAAACCATTTAAAATAGGAAATAAAAAATAGGTATTTTTAAAATGATTTTTTAAAGTAAAAAAATTTTAAATATTTATCTTTTTATATTTAAATTCTTATTTTGATTTATATTTCTTACTATTATTTTTTGTATTTCAATTTTTTTTTTTAAATATAAACTTGAATTGCATGGCATACATATTTACATATAAAATTACATATTATATAATATATTACATATAATATATTATAACACAATGTTTGCCTATATTGTTTATAGACATTCAGTTATTCTTTTAAAATAACATTTTGATTGCAGTGCTCTTTAAAAGTCAAATGTACTTTCAGCAAAAAAATTTAAAGAGTTTCTCATTTTTTATAGAATTTTATAATTAGAATATACATATTGATATCTTAATTTTTAATTTGCAAAAATTGCATTTGAAATAAAAATGGGTAAGGAAAACCATTTAAATGGAAATGTAAAATAGTTTTTCCAAAAAAAATGTATTTGAGATGCAAAATACAAAATAGACATTTTATATTTTGTATATTGTTATTTTAAATGCATCCAATTACAAATAATGCACATCTCTGAGTATTTATCATATTATTCTCTAAAATTTGCATAATATGTAATGTTTATAAGTGAGATATATATATATATATATATATATATATATATTATGTTTATAGGTGAAACACCAGGTAACTTCGATATTATCATAGAAAATGATAATTTGGATACAGCATACGAGATTTTACACAATTTTATACTGATCAATTTTAATCTTCAATGCAAAACAGATAAATAAAATGTTTTGTTCATGTTTTTGATGCGGATAATATTGATCTTTCCACTGTGTGTTATATATACCACACAAGTATTTCCATTACAAAGATCATGATACATATTGTGATTGTAAAAATGATAATACAGTGGGACCTCTTAATAACATATGAAAGCATTTTACGAGGTTCCATTGTATAATAATTGAATTCTCTACATAAATATTTTCAGTCGAAACAACGAGTTACTCTAGAGGCGGAATTTCATGGATTATTCGTATATCAGGACACAGAATAGCTTGACAAAATAAAAAATTATTATTTTAATACATTGAATAACATATATAATTCAAATATATGTACATGTGACTTATGAGTTAAAATTATAGCCAATGTAAACTCATGTTACAATATTGTGTATCTTTACGTTCGCATATTTATGCTTGCTATATTTTAAATTATTGATATTGTTACTTTTCTGAAAATAATAATAAATGCAACAATTGCATAATTTTAATATAGTAATTTGATAATTCTAAAGCAAATTATAAAAGAGACAGTGTTCCATTATAACGTTGATGCAATATTGCACTAAATATATATATATATATATTTTAGTTGATGCAATATTGCACTAAATATATATATATATATTTTAGATAAGTTCTTTATTAAAAATAAAAGATCCACTCTTTTATAGAAGTAAGAAAATGTTTAGAATAGAATTTTAGCTTAACATTCACAAAAAGTAACTTAAAGAGATAAATGTAGAGTTTTAGCTGTAACTAACTGAGACTATTCACCAAAAAAGGTTGTGTTCCAATAGAGTAGGCTATCTGTAAATATACTTACGATTTCGTACTTATCTTCGTGATAAATATCATACAAACATAATGTAATCACTTTTGGTTTACATCATGACAATGTCAGATTTCATGTGATCATGTCAAGTACTTAGCACTAAGATTATAAAAAAATGTATGTAAACATTCCTATAAAATTGCGTTTGCATTATAAATAATTATTTATATTTTTTACTAAAAAAATTATAAAAGAAAATTATATATTTCCTAAGTTGTTAAATAAAACTGTATGCTTGTTTCAAGTTTTTCAACTGTTTACATGCAGTTTAACTGTCCATAATGTTTGATAATTTATAGTACGACTTAAAAAATCAGTGTAATATTGTAAAATATATTTTACGAGTCTGATTATATATATAGCATAGAAAAATAGTGATGATATTATTACAAGCCAAGTTACATATTATATGTATATAATAGATCAAATTTGCTCTTGCATCTTAAAATGAGATATTTTAAACAAAGAAAAATAAATTGCTAGAATTAAAATATTAATCGATGTTAGTGCGATATTGACAACTTATAGAGATAAGTGTCGCGGAAAATGTTTTATTGTAGATGTACGCTATTACAGAGAATATATGATGTTACGTATGTATAGATTTGATGGTATATTCAATAAATAGTTTGAGATAGATACCATTTGTCAAAATATTATTTGCGGTAATGTAAAACAGCGAGAAATTGTAAATATATTCCATCCACACAATTAGTTATTATTATTATTATTGCGCAAGGAGAACAACATATGTTATTAGGTGTATAATTAATGGAGACTTTGACGTGAGCGATCGACTGCATTCTGGACGGCCTGAGAAGATTGAACACGAGATGAGCTTCTTCTATTAGGTCAAAGGATCACAGAGAAACGTTATGTGCATCAATTAAACCATTTGAACTCTGACGTCATTTGGAAACAATTTTTCCTCAGCGAAAATGTCGAGGTACCAATAATTTTCAATTGATTGAAAATAAAGGGTTTTTCGCAAACCAAGTCTTGTAGACACAAAATATTAACAAAATCATATTCTTCAAATAATTTTAGGTAGACTTTATTTTAATAGAATTTTAATTTAAGGTAGTACAAAGGTAGTTACAAAGATACATAATGGCAAAAATTGGGAACATGTAAAAAAAAGATGGCAGAGGGTGGCACAAATATTTTAATTAAAACTATTGAACCTTTTCTTTTGCACTAATAAAAGAATTTTTATGTAAAACGGCGAGAACTTAATATTATATACCTAATATTAATTAATCTATTGTGTTGATTCATAATGAATGTGTCACTATAGATAGTTATATTGAATCATATGTTCTGAAAAATCATAAATTTTTTAAACGAAACGAAGTAATCACAGCAACTATATAATTGCAAAAAAGAGCGACCCTCATCAATCGGAAAAATAATTTTGCTACATACGGTGAAAATAACGCGGGGAAGTAATTCTAAAGCTTTGTGGTCAGTTCTATCTCATTCTTCTTTTTCAGATCTTGTCACATTGGATTTTCATCTATTCAGGTCACTTCAAAATTCATTAAATGGAAAAAATTTTCATAATATTTCAAGATCCATGAATTTGTAAAAACCTTTTTGCATCAAAAAATCTTCAAAATTTTTCGAGGAAGAAATTAACAAACTACCATTTAAATACAAGTTATACTTATATTAATAATGAAGAATATACAGGGTGATTCATTTTAGTCGTCTCAAACAAATATTTCAAAAATTATGAGAGATATCATTTTTTCGCACATAAATGATTACATAAAATAATGTATTAAGTGTATTAAGGTATGATAACTAAATATTTTACATTTTATGTCAAAAATTGTTGACTTCAAACCTTAATAACTTAAAAAGTACTTAAGAGAAAAATTTCATTATAGTGTTTTGGAAAGCTCTCGAGATGAGCTACAAGAATATGTAATGAAAAATAATAGATTCCATTTAAAAAAATAAAGGTGACCTTCGCGTGACCTTCAAATGATTATACAAAGTCAAATCAATATGACACCATATTTTATGTCCCCATCGAAATCCAAAAATTTTATTTGAAACATTTTTTCGTATCATTATTTTCGAAATATTTGTTTAGGACAATTAAAATAAATCACCCTGTAATTATTGTAAATAATTTTAAATATTAAAAAAGTTAGTGTTTTGAATAAAACGGAACTTATATATAAATCAACCCAAAATACACTCTTCCTTCGTTCAACAAATTTTTATTTAAGTATCCGCTTTTGTCTCTTTTTTTTCCTCAGACTGACGATGAATAGAATAATCTCGTTTGGGCCATTCGCCATGATGATGACGAGTTTTATGTCGCGGTAATTCGCTTACCTCTATAGACGTTATTTTGACGTTATTTTTTTCTACTCGGCTCTTTTTATTCTCCTGGCGAATAAGATTGTCGCCGTAATTCCTCGGCGTTGGATAAGTATCTATTATTTTTTCAGCTTGTTGAGCAAATTGTGGGATGGGTTTCCTGAAGAATGTATATCGAATTATTTGGGGCCGTGGTTGAAAAATATTCTCCGGAAGTGATGGCAAGCCGGAAGCAACGTCGATCGACAGCTGCACGTCTCGGTTATCGCTCATCATTTTCTTCATCATTGTATTTCCCTCCTCGAAATTAGGATGCTGTTTATTTGCATCACGTGCTACCAATTTTTGTAATATCCCTAGATTAGGATGTCCCGATTGATCAAAGGATCTTTGTCGATTATTTTGAAACGGAGACCTATTATTATTGTCTTCTTCTTTAGGATAGACTCTTGGCTGCATCAGCCAATTTTGATCGGATAGATATTTTTCGAGAATATTCCAGTTTTCCAAATCCCGAGAAATGGCTCTTCTAACGAGCCGGGAAATTTCATCGATACTTGCAGTTTGACGATGGTTTTTATTATCTTCCAGCATCATTTCAGCCGAGTACGCAAAACGCTCGAAGGGTACCTGAAAACTCGTTTCTAGCACCTTTTGATTTTCATCCAAGTTGCGTTTTTCTATATGAGTGTCGTGGACGTAGTCTGGATAATAAGCTTCATAAAATACCGGTCCTTTGTCCAAATTGTAACTGTCATACCTATACAGGGTTGGGTATATAACTTAATGATTTTTTTGAACTAAGTTAAAGATAGTTATATATTACTTTAGTTAAGTTAAAAGTTGCATGAATAAAAAATTAAAGATCAATCAAAATTAATATTGGACGCTAGTGGTGAAAATAAACTTGGCAAAGTTGATTTCGACGTAACTAGCAATTTTATTCAATACTTTCACGACGTTTCGACCATTTGGTTGTGGTCCTTATCAAGTGAAAATTCTATAACATAATATTACACACTAGTTTTTACCAATGTTGAAACATACAAGAATATATTTAAATGTTAAGTTAATAATATAATATAAATTTTATAAACATACCCATCAATTAAAATGAGATTAACGCAACATAACACCGGTTTTATTTAAAATTAATAGTTAAAAGAGGAACACGTCCCATCGCTATGATGTTTCGTCAACGACTAAATTTGAAACGCACCACTAAACAATCTTTATTATTTTGTCGTAAATATTTGTTAAATTCTCAGTGTCTTTCTGTAGGTTAACAGTATTATCATGCTTCTTTATGAAGAATATTTCAGCAATCTCTCTCTTTCTTACATGTTTCTCATTATGTACAATAAAATGGTCGGTGATTTCCAATCAAAGTTATGTCCAAAATCACACCTGTGTTTACTCAAAACCGAATGATTAGATTATCATGTAATTTAATATTGCTAGCATGTTCCTTCACTCTAGTGCATTAATGTCTTTTCGTTTGTCCAATGTATGAGGCATTACAATTTTCACAATTAATCTTATTGTATACTACATTCGTTTTTATATCATTAGTTATTAAATCTTTACCTCGTTTTATCAGCCTATTCAACTTTTTTGGCAAACTATAAACGACATTTAAGTTAGCATTTTTAAGTGACCTTTTAATACTGTCGCTAACGTCTTTAACGTATGGAAGTGGAATTACATAATTCTTATCTTGAGTCGAATTCACATTATCGTTATTATTCAAATCATTATTCAAATTGTCGTTATTATCCGCATTGTGACGGTTAACATTCCTATTATTATTTAGTACATTAATTCTTTTATTTATAATTACATATTTATTAATAATACGATCCGGAAAGCAATTATTAATTAAAATGTTCTTTACAATCTCAATATTCGTGTTATGAAATTGTTCGTTTGAAAGTAAAATTGCATGGTCTACTAAATTATAAATCGTATTAATTTTATACTTAATAGGATGACTCGAAAGAAAATTGATGTATCTGCCAGAACATGTATATAGGTTTCCTAAACCAATTAATTGTCAATTCATTCCCATTGCGGATAACTGTAGAATTTAAAAAATTAATAGAAGAATTGGTCTCTATTTCATGCGTAAATTTTAATCGTTCATGATAATTATTAAATGTACTTAAAATTTCATTTATTTTAGAGTTAGGTAAAATAACAAAAATGTCATCCACATATCTATAAAAAGTCTGAACTTCAAAACTTAAAGAATTTAAACAATTTGTTTTAAAGTCATCCATTACTAAGTCAGCTAATATCGGTGATAGAGGGGATCCCATAGGGCTTCCATAAATCTGTTCATAGTACTGCTCATTAAATTGAAAACTAGTTGAAGTAAGTATTACATCAATAGCGTATAGAAACTGTTGCAAATTAAATTTAGTTCTTAGACTTATGTCACTCCAACGATTTTCAATTGCAGAAAAAACTAAATGTTTGTTCGTTGTTTACGAATATTCCAAAAGATTTAGTTTTTTCTGTAATTGAAAATCGTTGGAGTGACATAAGTCTAAGAACTAAATTTAATTTGCAACAGTTTCTATACGCTATTGATGTAATACTTACTTCAACTAGTTTTCAATTTAATGAGCAGTACTATAAACAGATTTATGGAAGCCCTATGGGATCTCCTCTATCACCGATATTAGCTGACTTAGTAATGGATGACTTTAAAACAAATTGTTTAAATTCTTTAAGTTTTAAAGTTCAGACTTTTTATAGATATGTGGATGACATTTTTGTTATTTTACCTAACTCTAAAATAAATAAAATTTTAAGTACATTTAATAATTATCATGAACGATTAAAATTTACGCATGAAATAGAGACCAATTCTTCTATTAATTTTTTAAATTCTACAGTTATCCGCAATGGGAATGAATTGACAATTAATTGGTTTAGGAAACCTACATGTTCTGGCAGATACATCAATTTTCTTTCGAGTCATCCTATTAAGTATAAAATTAATACGATTCATAATTTAGTAGACCATGCAATTTTACTTTCAAACGAACAATTTCATAACACGAATATTGAGATTGTAAAGAACATTTTAATTAATAATTGCTTTCCGGATCGTATTATTAATAAATATGTAATTATAAATAAAAGAATTAATGTACTAAATAATAATAGGAATGTTAACTGTCACAATGCGGATAATAACGACAATTTGAATAATGATTTGAATAATAACGATAATGTGAATTCGACTCAAGATAAGAATTATGTAATTCCACTTCCATACGTTAAAAACGTTAGCGACAGTATTAAAAGGTCACTTAAAAATGCTAACTTAAATGTCGTTTATAGTTTGCCAAAAAAGTTGAATAGGCTGATAAAACGAGGTAAAGATTTAATAACTAATGATATAAAAACGAATGTAGTATACAATAAGATTAATTGTGAAAATTGTAATGCCTCATACATTGGACAAACGAAAAGACATTAATGCACTAGAGTGAAGGAACATGCTAGCAATCAAGAGACACGGTAGTGTCTCGCGACCAGTTAAGGGCGTAGCGGAGACACCGTGTATCTTAACGCGAGTCGGACATTTGAGTCTTTATAATATTTCGAATCCTCAATAATGGCTGATGCAATCGAGTTTATACTAGACTTAATCGATAGATTGAGTTCGAATTATATAATAAAAGTGTCTTTATTTCTGCTCTACGTGATTTGTAAGCAGAGATATATAAATGCAAAGTCGAAATATGAAAAATTTCTATTAAGAAACGTCCCCGTCATCATTATCATCATTATCATCATCGACCACGCATACATAGTAGTATCGTGTTACACGTATTCACACGTATACAACACATGCGCACACATATATCACACGTACACAACACATGCAAGATGCATGTAGTGGTAATTTTGTCCATCTCGCACGTTTTACAACAGATGGCGATAGTGGCGCTCCGCCATATCGGCAGCGTGCGGGGTTATGTTGGCTAACTCTCTCTCTCTCTCTCTCTCTCTCTCTCTCTCTCTCTCTTTCTCTCTCACACACACTCTCATTCTCACTCACTCACTCACTGTTCGTCTTGTGTACTTATTTAGTACATTCATGATTAAACATCTATATGCATTAATGTGAAATTTACTTACAATTAGTTTACTTGAAATATTCAATCTCTAAAGTGTTTATCTTATAAGATAGACAAAAAAATCTGAGTAAATAATAAGAAAAAAAAACAAAAGGATTATTATTGTCATAATTTTTTATCAATTAAGTACTCTTAACTATCCAATAATTAAATAAATACGTACAAATGTGCGCGCGTGTACACACATACACCTATTGATATTAAAGAGATTGAAGGAGAGGAAGGAGAAGATAAAAATTTAAATATTCACATATATTTTCAAATATTATATATGAATTTATAGTTTACATATCTAATTAATAATGAATTTCTAATTATATTAAACATATCAATATAAAGACATACATGTATTTATCAAATGAATAAAATTATTGAATACAGACTTAAAAAATTTATTAAACATAGACTTAAAAAATTAATTAATTAAGAGTTTAACTAGGCTCTGTAATATATAAATATAAATTTAACATATATAAGATAGGCAATAAGAGCCAAATCGCGGATGACAGTGCGTTATTCTAAACGAAACTAAAATTTTTTCGTTAGAATTAAATACCTGTGCACAAGGCACCAAATTTTTACTTGGACACGGCCAAGATATAAAATTGGAATAATCTCTACAAGAGATTTTTAATTCCATGTATCCCCTTATTTCTTTAGGGGGAATAGGGGATACATGGAATTAAAAATCTTTGTAGAGATTATTCCAATTTTATATCTTGGCCGTGTCCAAGTAAAAATTTGGTGCCTTGTGCACAGGTATTTAATTCTAACGAAAAAATTTTAGTTTCGTTTAGAATAACGCACTGTCATCCGCGATTTGGCTCTTATTGCCTATCTTATATATGTTAAATTTAATTTAATTAATTAAACATATTCCAAATTTAGAAAAAATAAACTTTATTTATATATGCAACAGCTTTTTAAACTAAATTTTTAAATTCTATTTTATATTAGACAATTATCTCAATCAACATCTACGTCCACATTAGCTGCACTGCAGACTACCTCTACAGCCACATTATCTGCTCCGCGGATATAGCGTTATGCCAATACGATACATTACATGTACTTACTTACTTGCCTTTACTGTACCAACTCTTGTTCTTTCCACGTAATCATGTTTTTACAGTTATCGTTTGCTGTATATCTTCCAGCAAACTTTATTTCGTGTGAAGTGTATTTAATTAATTAAATCTCTGCGAAAGATTGAGAAGATGAAGGGATAATTCAAACTATGAAGACATGGTTACATGGAAAAGACAAGAGTTGATACAATAATAAAGACATACATGTATTTGTATCCTGCTGGCATAAGGTTATAGAAGTTGATTGAGATTGAAAAATAATAATAAAAATAATAAAAAAAATAAAGACACATGTATTTGTATCGTGCTGGCATAAAGTTATAAAAGTTGATTGAGATTGAAAAATAATAATAAAAATAATTAAAAAAAGGAAATATTCAATCATCATTTAAAAGCATATTTGAAATCTGTAGAATAAACAGTTTTTGCAAAAAATGTGGAGCATTTGAGCTCTAGTAAGTCTAAAAATAAATGTAAACATCAATTAATAATAACTGATGTTATATATATATTATATATATAAACCAATTTGTTGCAATATTCACTATAAAAGGTTGTAAGGGTAAGATGGCTAAAAGTGAATAATTTAAAAGATAGTTAACATAATTTTACATAAACTGAAATATTTCATAAAATAAAATATTTGTAATATTTCGAAGTTTATGTAAGATTATGTAAAAATTATACCTTTACAACTTTTTATAGTAAATATTGCGAGGAATCGATTTATATGAGAAAAATTAAGGTAATTCTATTTTGAAAATATAAGTGACCTTTAAATAACCTTGAAAATCGCCGTTTAGGAAAAAGTCTGTGTCAACTTTTTCTTTTTCGAAATCCTGCAACTTTTATCTAAATTTAATAGAAAATGTATAAAAAATGCTCGACATTAGTACACACACACACACACACACACACACATACACACACACACACACACATATGGGTAAATTTATATAAATAGGGTGCTTTAGGAGGAATGATCAGGATTCTAGGATATGATTGTACACATCATTTTAAGCAAAGAAGTTTAGATAAACATGTTTAATAATTGTTCTATTCCGGTCATAAAAATATACAAAAATGAATGATATAATCTCTAAAAACTCACCTTTAAAAAAAGGTAAAAAAAGGCGACCAGTTAAGGGCACGCCATTAACAAAAATTATCCATTGCAAACCCATGTAGAATCGTACCCATTGCAAACCTATGTAGAATCCTATGAAAAATTAAACATTGCAAACTCATGTAGAATCCTATGAAAAATTAACCATTGCAAACCCATGTAGAATTGTATTAAAAATTATCCATTGCAAACTTATGTAGAATCCTACATTGCAAACCCATGTACAATAGAATTGTATGAAAAATTATCGATTATAAACCCATGTACAATCGTAACAAAAGTAATGAAATAAAAAAAAAATTGCGCCAAGTGAAAGTAGAAACTTGTACCAGTGGAAAATTAAAGTTGCAGACATATATAGAGTCGTATAATGAATCAGTAAAAATTTAAATTTGCAAATGTAGAATCGTACCATAAAAAAACTTATCTTTTAAAAAAAAAGATAAACAAGATGCCAAGTCCATGCGCCATGTGAAAAAGAAATAAAAAAATTTTAGTTAAAAAAACTGGGCGCGCTGCTAAGTTTCAAAATTACAATGCACCTTAAAGTAACATTAATTAATTTAAACACAAAACATATTTTAACTGTAATGAGTTTAAAAGTAACAATTTAATTTTAATATTGTTAGAATATTATTTAGCAGCGCTCCCAGTTTTTTTAACTAAAATTTTTTTATTTCTTTTTCACATGGCGCATGGACTTGGCATCTTGTTTATCTTTTTTTTTAAAAGATAAGTTTTTTTATGGTACGATTCTACATTTGCAAATTTAAATTTTTACTGATTCATTATACGACTCTATATATGTCTGCAACTTTAATTTTCCACTGGTACAAGTTTCTACTTTCACTTGGCGCAATTTTTTTTTTATTTCATTACTTTTGTTACGATTGTACATGGGTTTATAATCGATAATTTTTCATACAATTCTATTGTACATGGGTTTGCAATGTAGGATTCTACATAAGTTTGCAATGGATAATTTTTAATACGATTCTACAGGGGTTTGCAATGGTTAATTTTTCATAGGATTCTACATGAGTTTGCAATGTTTAATTTTTCATAGGATTCTACATAGGTTTGCAATGGGTACGATTCTACATGGGTTTGCAATGGATAATTTTTGTTAATGGCGTGCCCTTAACTGGTCGCCTTTTTTATTAAATTACATGATAATCTAATCATTCGGTTTTGAGTAAACACAGATGTGATTTTGGACATAACTTTGATTGGAAATCACCGACCATTTTATTGTACATAATGAGAAACATGTAAGAAAGAGAGAGATTGCTGAAATATTCTTCATAAAGAAGCATGATAATACTGTTAACCTACAGAAAGACACTGAGAATATAACAAATATTTACGACAAAATAATAAAGATTGTTTAGTGGTGCGTTTCAAATTTAGTCGTTGACGAAACATCATAGCGATGGGACGTGTTCCTCTTTTAACTATTAATTTTAAATAAAACCGGTGTTATGTTGCGTTAATCTCATTTTAATTGATGGGTATGTTTATAAAATTTATATTATATTATTAACTTAACATTTAAATATGTTCTTGTATGTTTCAACATTGGTAAAAACTAGTGTGTAATATTATGTTATAGAATTTTCACTTGATAAGGACCACAACCAAATGGTCGAAACGTCGTGAAAGTATTGAATAAAATTGCTAGTTACGTCGAAATCACCTAGCAAACACCAATATATAATTGTTACATTGCTATAATAAAACGGAATATAACAGGTAATATAACGTGTACGTTACATGTAACATCCATGTTAGTTGTAATTTCTCACTCATAGTTGTAACATTTTAATATAACATATATTACATTGTAGTTATATTGTAATTATATACCAAATAGCACATTGATGTATTGATAAGTCAGTGCTATCTTGGGATATAATGACAATATAACTACAATGTAATATATGTAATATTAAAAATGTTATATCTATGAGTGGGAAGTTACAACTAACATATATGTTACATGTAACATGCTTAAGTATATAACATTTATATATTGTTTGCTGGGCAAGTTTGCCAAAAAATTAAAGCTATATATATATAGTTAGTTAAAGTTAGTAAAGTTAAAGTTAAGTTAAATTTAAGTTAAAGTTAGGTTAAATTGAAATTATAAATTAACTGAAATTAAATTAAATTAAAATTTTAAAAACATTTATATTAAATTAAAATTTTGTTTGTTAATTTTTTTACAATTTATAACAAAGAAATTTTGATTTTTACATGTAGAAATATTTTTTGGTAATTACAATTAATAACAATGAACATAAAAATTAATAAATTACATTAATTTAAAAATAATACGTTTTATAACTTTATAAAAAAACAATAATGATATTCAGAGATAAAAAAATTAACTTAGGAAAAAAATTAATAAGATTATAAGGTCAAAAATAACTATATAGTTGAAGTTAAAAATTAATATATTTTAAATTAACTAAGCTAAGTTAAAATTATTAACATTTTAACCTTTTTTTAACTTCTAACTTAATTAATTAGTGTTATTACCCAACCCTGCACACCTATATATTGTATATCGTGCAATGCAACACGATGAGGAAAAAAGCAATATTTATGCTTTCAGTGTGAAAAAATTCAGTTAAGTTATATCTGAAATCTTTTAATAACAAATTCTCATGAAAAAATTATCGATTACTGAGAATAATATATATATAGTCACCTAGATGTTTTCGAATCGCCTGCGATGGTGGCGGCCACAATGACTGATGATACATCTATGCGAAAATATATATTTTAGGGTGTTTACGAAATACTAAGACAAACTTCGAGAATTTATTACTCACGTCAAATAAAAAAGTTTTTATACAGGGTGTTCCAGACCTACCGTAAAATCTGTCAATGACAAATTCCTGAGATCATAAGAAAATGTTGAGGGATAAACATCACTTTTATTTGCATGTTCCCATCTTTTATCATCATGTATCTTTATTACTACTAAGTCTTAAATTAAAATTCTATTAAAATGAACTCTACTTGAAATTAAGGATGTATCTGAGCTATCTAAAAATAGTACAAAGTAGATGAAACTTTGAGAAACTCTTTTTTTTTATTATTTCTAATGTATTTAAAAAAAATTCAATTGGATTCACTAAACCATTAAAGAGTAATTATTATTTTAATTTAGACTGATTTTACAGTTGTTCTTTCGAAGAAGTGCGATTTTCTCGAATGTAATAAATAAAATAGTAAATAGGTAAAAAGATATGAGTAAAGAAATAATTATTATGTTAATTGTTGTCGATTTTGTACGTATTTTTACGAAAAAATGCGATTTCCTCAAATATAATTGGTAAAAAAATATTGAAAAAATAGTACCAATAATTTCATTTTTTTTATACATATAAATCTTGAATTATCAAAACTTTGTGCAAAAGTTGACTAGTTTTCACAACACGGTTTCAGAAAAATTAATTATTATTTGTAAAATTTTATTATTTTATAATGATTAAATTATTGAACGTGAAAGTGCGGCAACGTCGCAATCAGTTGAACGTGTCAAGTGAACCTAGTCTTTAAAGTCTATACGGGAGAGTAAAAAGTCATGTCGTAAAGTCTCATTTTTTTGTATTGTCTATTCGCGGCATAAATAATTTTGAAGTCTTAAATATTATTAGTTTTAATAAACAATTTTATTAATATTGATTAGTATAAATAATGAATTAATTAGCATAAATAATAAACTATTATTAATATCGATTAATAACAAATACCTAATAAAATAATACACAGAAAAAACAGAGAAAATTATTCAATGTAAATAAAAATCAGTATAATATCTTAAAAACTTAAATATTTAATAATTAAAATCTGGCTTTTGCTTTGATTTCTCATTCACATTTTCTTTATTGTCAAGGTTGATAGACTCAATTTTTTCTTCTTCTCCTTTCTTAGCTTTTTTCTTAATTGTTCACATTTTTGTTGTGCAACTCTCTTCCGATACGTACTTTCACTCACAATTTTACCTTTCCATCGATAAGTCTTTTGATATCTCGACAGCGTGTAACCTCAAATCAATCTATACTTTTTTTTTTTTTTGACATTTTCTCTGTACTCTACAAAGTGCATTGCTAATTACTATCAACTTACAAGCCAAACGTGTTACGACGTTGCCGCGTTAAACACGTAAAGTGTCAAACATAATATTAATAATAAATAATAATTATAGTTATTATTTAAATAGTATATATTTATCTTTTTTAACTATATTCTAATTAGTTTTTTTATTTTACATTAATGAATAATGCTGTTAAATTAACAAGAAATTTATTTTATAAAGTTGAATTCAGGGCATTTTCCTTCTAAAAGTTTTATTACGGAAGATTGAAAAATTGCAAATAAAGTTAAAAAACTGTTGACAAAGTGAAAAATAATGTTTTAACAGTAAATATATTATGTTAGCTACTCATTTATATTAGTTATCACTGGATTTACTACACGTAAAGTGTAAATATGCAAGTATTCCGGATTTAGAGCACTTTTGTCAACGATTGTACCTCAGATACATCCTTAACTGAAGAATGTGGTTTTGTTAATATTGTATATTCCCATATAGTTACTTTACCCTTTATTTTCAATTACTTGAAAATTATTAGTGACATTGTTACTGAGAAGAAATCTCCAAATGATCTTAGGAATCTCCCACTAACAAAGTGATTTTTCTGGAGCATCCTGTATATACCTATATATACAGGCTGTCCCATAGAAAATTGCTGAAACTATAATTAGTTGTCATTTTTAATGCATGCAGTTATTGAGAAAACAAAAATTGTGTTGAAAAGAGAAAATAAGTCTGCAGTTTTTAATGGATATAAATAAAATGTTTCTATACCAGTTTATTTTATTGAAAAAAGTAATGAAAAAAGTGCTAATAATCACATAACTAATGAAAAATATTTATTTTTAAAGTGCGCACTATTTGAATTTGTACAAAATTTTTTTTTTTACGAAAACTCGTAAAAAAATTTTTTTTCTAACATGTCATTTTTAATATTATTGACGATCCTTTTAATAGATGGTATTAAATCTGGCACTGTTAAAAATATTTATCATTATAGTTTATGTGATTTTTTTGTGTAATTATTAACACTTTTTTAATTATTTTTTTTCAATAAAATAATAACTGTGATATACAAAAATATTTTATTTATATTATTATCATTTCTTATAAGTTAAGTGTTTACAATTATATGTTATGATATTTATTAATAATATATCATAAACCTTTGTTTTACTCTGCTATATATAAAATTTTATTTGACTCAAACTACTCATTTCTTATTTCGAATATTGTATATATACGCAGGCTGTCCATTTTAAATAATGTATTAATATATATACATATATATTTAAAAATCAAGGCTTCTCTTTCAAAAAATGTTTCATACAAAAGTTGTAGGATTTCGAGGGGGTCATTTGATGGTGACCTAGACTTTGACCTAGAGGTCAAATTTGGAGGTCATTTAAAGGTCAACATAAAAATTTTAATTGGAAACTCCTATATCTCATTACACATATATTTTTGTAGTTTATTTCAAGAGCTTTTTAAAACATAATAAAATATTCTTTCATTAAGTACTTTATTTTGAGTTGTAATACTTTTACGCATGAAGTAATGAGACCAATCAATTAGTGTAAAGAAAACACATAGTTACTTTTAGGAAAAAGTATGCAGTTGTATGTTGCAATTGCATTATTTTTTTTAGCAATTATTTCTTTGTTCTAATTGATTGGCCTCATTATTCAGTGCATAATAGTATTGTTATGTCCGTGTCCCGCCCGTTTGACGATACATCCCTGTATTATACGATCGTCCGGATTTTCTATTAGGATCTTCTATCAGGGTCTTCTATCAGGGTCTTCTATCAGGATCTTCTATCGTCGCTAAGAAGCTGTTTATGTCTATCGATGCGTTTTGTTCTGGTCTAGCTGTCGTGCGGTGAGGACGTATCCTCTGACAGCTGATCGGCGGATATATTTGCATTAGGATTAATGCACGTAATATTATATTGTATCGCTACGGTTTATTGGCTTCTAATATTAAAGTTTATTGCTTTACTACGCGAGTGTATTCATTTCCGGCGTGTGAGAGTTTGAGTGCGCGCGACATTTCTTCGAGATAATCAGAAGGGTGGTCGCGGACGTAACATTTTGGGGGCTCGTCCGGGATCGTTCGGACATAACACGAGCCACGAACCGTAGTAAAAAAAAGGACAAATATTTCGTGTGTGTGTGCGGTGAAAAGGTTACGATGTCTTTGGTGCATTCTCCGAGGATTACTCGTTTGCAAGCTTCGTCACGAGCAATGATCGGCGAAGAACAACAGTCGACTCCACTTCGAGCGATTAACAGCGAGGAAACTCCCGAGCGCGTGGACGCTTTACAGGAGGCGTTAGAACAAATTAGAGAATTGCGAGAGGAACGCTCACAACAGCAGGCTCAATTTTTGACGATGCTGCAACAGCGGGACGAGGAACTGCACCGATTACAGGAAAGACTCGCCTCATCGGAAAATAACCAGCTAAGTCACACACATAATAGAATTCCGAACAACACCACACGTAGAAATAGCGAATCGAACAATGTTTTACACAATAATTTTGAGCTCGGATATAAGCTCAAACCTGAGAATTTTGACGGGAGTGTACCCTTGCGCGAATTTATTGCCCAGTTCGATTTTATAGCGCGAGCTAATGGTTGGAATTCGTTTCAAAAGACCTTGGCTCTTGCCGCTTGCTTAAGAGGGAAAGCGTGGACCGTTTTGGATGGAATTTCGGAGATTGAAAATTTAGAATTCGCGGATTTAAAGTCAAAATTAGAATTACGTTTCGGTGAAGGGCATTCGGCTCAGTCTTATTACGCGCAATTTACGAATCGTAGACAAAAGAGTTCGGAAGATTTGGCTTCTCTTGGCGCGGATTTAGACAGATTGTCGCGATTAGCCTATCCTGAGTGTTCTCATGAAGTTAGAGATAAAATTGCTTGCGCACAATTTATTACTGCAATATCAGACGGCTTTTTGAAGAGAACTCTTCAATTAGAAAGCGTTATTTCATTAAAATCTGCCATAGAGAGAGCAATGGCAGTAAAAGTTATTCAAGAAAATAGTTTTCAAAAAAATAAAAATTTCCCGAATCAAAATTTTGAAAAATATAACAAATATAATAAATATAATAAATTTAATAAATTTAATAAATTAGAGAACAAAGAGAAAAACGAGGAAACAAAAGAGAAACATAACGAGAAAGGAAGTCGTATAATAATAAATATTTTCAAAGGAACGGTCCGAAGGCAAAAAGGAATGTTGGCATTGCGGCGCTGAGGGACACTTCTGTTCTGAATGTCCGTCATTTACGGAAAACAAGGTTTAGTCGAACTTCGCGGGGCAGGTTCGGCTAATTGCGTGATAGCCCCAAATGTTTTACAATGTGCTAGAATAAGTAGAACTAGAAATAATTTTTATTATAAAGGAAAATTTGGACGGAAGAATTTGTCGATTTAAAATAGTTCCGATGTTTCTATTCTTAGTGAGAGATTTCTGAAAGGAAAATTGTGCATTCGGATAGATTAGCTCCTTTTTATAGTCGAAACTTGCATTAGAATCGGAACCCACGATAGGTTACTTGTACTTTTAATAAAATTGTGTATTCTTCAATTTTTCTGCCGTAAGATTTGTTTTTCAGGAAAATCTTATTTGGCAACAAAAAGAAAAAGGACATGATGAAGATGAG